ACAACTGTTTAATGTAATATTTTTGAGTAAGGAATAAAACAAGCATTCATATTTATTTATACTGACTAATAAATTATGTAAAAAAGACTACCACATATCAAGCAATATGAAAATGGTTCACATTTTTCACTGTGTCGCCTTTTACCTCTAACAGATAGCTTTCGGTTTCAGGGTCATGTATGTCCCCAATGTCAGCCTGCACGCCATCTGCTCCCGCCACTACAGCTTGGTATAATACTGGAGAAAAGAAATTTGGGGAGGGTCCTCCATGCAGTATACTCATGGCTATTAGCTGTCCTGTGTAAAAGTAGCTGTTGTCTCGGAGTGCTAGCATTGAAACAGAGAACACAGAACAGATTATTGACAAATCACCTGGACAAAAGTTAACACAAAAGATGTGTCCAGTGTCCATAATACTTACATGGCGCATGACAACACAAGACTCGCTCATTTTCTGGGCCAGTGAACATTGGGCCAAGTTTTATGTGTTGTAGAACAAGTCTGAAAAACTCTCGCATTGGCCCTCCCATATCCACTGCTCCTTCTGAATTTCCATCATCATCTGTGAATTTTATGTCTATCCGTTTCTTCACAGAGAAATTTGGCCGCCTCATTCCACGTATGGTTCCATCCCAGACATTTTTGCGGTTTATGTTAAATCGAAGAACTTCATCTGTGTTAATGTCTTTTCTCAGTGAAAGCAGAATGTCTTGTAAACTAAAAAAAGAAAAAATTCAGGGTTTAGTAATGGGATGAGTGTGTATCACGTGTGGTTGTGTGTTTGAGTGTGGCAGAAGAAGGGAGGACAAGAAAGGAAGGAAAGAAAAGTATGGATGAATGGAACAAAAGAAAAATGAATGGGTGTACAGTAAAGCCTACACATAGAGGCAGGCATGTGCCAAGTTGGTTACCTTTCTGTGATGTCTTAAAAGTCTGTCCTAAGTCTAAGGTAGAAATGTTGATCGTTTTAAAATAATGTTAAATTGAAAATGGTACATAAACATAGCAGAATGAGCAACATTAATTGCAAAGAAAAAAGCGCAAAGAATAAGAAAACAAAGCCTTGCAAAAACATTACAGTGCACTACTTTACATTCACTGTAATTTAAATAGTAATTCCATGACATGAACTATTCACCTTTTGTGAACACAAATATTAAAAATCTGATTATTAGGACTATGAGGAATACTGCTCTCACTTTGTGCAGGGATGGTCCTTCAAGGACTCTTCTATTGCTCTGTTAAGGTCTTCATTGTCTGAGTCACTCCAAACATCAGGGCAAATTAGATCAACATAGTCCCTGCCAATAAACATTTTTCCAGTTATTATTCAAGTACATTTACACATCATTAACAATATTGCAATCCATTACTAATGTTTAATTTCAAAAAGGAATTTTTGACAGTTGTCATAATGTTTTAGGATCATACCTGTACGTAGGCACAGCTGGTTCACTGAGGACCACAGTGGATGTGGATGCTGGGATTAGTGACTGAGACGGGTACCCACTGGGACCTGCCACTGGTTCATTCACAGTTTCTAAAACTATCACGTCCTCTGCTGGTGAAGAGGGGACTTCCAAGGTGAAACTGCTCACAGGCTGTGTCCTTTGGAAATTTAGGACATGGTTAGATAATTACTGCGACACAGACTTGCACACACAAATATAACTTACAAAAATAACGAGAACACTGCAGAAACAGCAAATACATTGAATCCAGAATAAAAAAAAACTATACATTTACATTACATATTACACATTTTCAGAATGAGTTACAAAGGATATCACACCAAGAATGTGTAAGCTAGATAGATAATTTAAAATGTGTACCAAAAATGGTTAAAGAAGATGCTCATGTTAGTGATGACCTAAGGAGGCTTCTAGCAAAACTAGCCTTTAAGGTCCTCCAATTATTCTGTATTTGGCATTTTACCTTGTGCAGCATTGAATATGTCGTGCCAGGTCCTGTAACGGGATTTCAGTCTCACATGTTTTGCACTTTTCCATAGCCACTGCTTCTACCTGAAATAGATTAAGATTTGTCATATTTGTAAAACTGAGTACAAGTGTGATATTGAAAGTGCTGCTTCTATTTGTGGATCAAATGTAAAGACATCAATCACAATAAATTTTCCTATTACACACAGAGACAGACATGAGATTAATATTACAGATAAGTTATTGAAAACTAACCTTATCGGAATCCTGTAACTCTATCATTGGTATACTAGTCTGTAGTGGCCTGACATAGGCCACAGCCTGGTTCAGTCCACTTTCTGTCCGAAGGAACTTAATACTATACCCACTGGTGGGTATGGGTATGGACTGCAGGGCTTTGCTCCTGAAACCCCTCAAAATTTGGAATCCTCCTGCATCCTTAAGCGGTGGATAAAAAGAATGCAAAGTCTCACAGAGATCTTCATGTGTTCCATTTTTATCTGGAAAAGTTATTCTTTTCCTTCCCAGACCAATGGTTTGTAGAGCCAAGCTGCGTTCTGGTGGAGGTACATGATCTTCATCTTTGTCCGCAAGGCAAAAGAAGGTGTGGGTCCATGTCTCTGCCATGCTTGGCCTCTTCCTGGATTTTTGAGATGAAAAACGTTGCCCCCTTGCACGGTCATATGGCTGAAAGAGCCTCACCAAGTTTCTCTGAATAGCGTCTTCTGGTTGAGTGTGATTTAAGGTACGCTCATGTCTCTCAGGTTGAGCAGAATAATTTGGCTGGCTAGAGGCTGACTCCCCCCTCAGTAACCTTGCAGCCTGTTGCAGGAGTCTGGCTGCTTCAATATTTGCAGCATTACTATCATTACTAGGGGGAAAAAATAATACAGATAAGAAAACTAGGAAGAACTGCAAAAATGTGCATCCATACCATACTGCAATNGTTCTGATCGAATTTTCCCCATAAAAAATAATGGAAAACCAATTAATTGGTTCCCGCCCCCCCAAAAATTACACCGAAATATGTTTTTTTTAGCATTTAAACACAAAATGAACCGGACAAAACAAGAAAAGCATATACTGTACTAAACACATCTAAGCACATTTATCAAAACAGTAATTTTAAAGTAAGAATATAAATGTATCCAAACAATATGTGTCCTGCCCCAATCGTCCGCGCCTTCCGTGTGCTACGCCCCCTCGTTAACCCCGTGTGGAATCCTCGTGTGATCAGCTGTTTCTGGTTCTTTTCATTAGTCTTCTGTATTTCATCCACGTTTCAGTTTGTTTTCCCCAGTCCAGTCATTGTATTGTCCGTCTGCGTTTTGCCTGCCTTGCCTGTAATTAAACCCTGTATTCCCTGATACCCTGACATCTGCGTCTTTGTCTCCGTTCCGTCCCAGCTCGGCAGAACAATATTATTATAATTAAATGTATTAATGGTTTATTATTAATATTAAAATAATTAATAAGAAATCTTTATTTAAAAATGCATTTTATTATATAATAATAATTAGTGTTACTGTCTATCATTGTCTAAATGTATTTTTACTGTCTAAATATATGTATTCAGGTAGTGTAAACATGCACGATGCTATCACAGCGAATGCGAGGCTGACACTGAAACGTTACCCTTTGTTTCTGCGGAGAGACATGCCGCGTGACTCATTTCCCCGGTCGGCGTTCACGGTTCGGCTTCTGAGATTCAGATCGAGTTCTAGGTCTTTTTTTTTTTCGAACTGGTTGGTTTGACTTTTAAGAAATTCGATTTTTAATGAGTTAGAGAACTGAGGTACAGTACCACTGTATTTATCTTTTCTGTTGTAGATTCCATGGTATACCACCAGCGTTTCTTCAGAGTGCTGCGGATACTTTAGATAATGCAGCCCTTCACCTCCTCAACCCAACTTTTCAACACTCTGATTATGACTACATTCTATTCAGGCTGGAGCAAATGCAGAACTGTCTAATCAGATGCTTTCAGAATATTGAGTCAGAAGAGGCAGAGCAAGTGCTTGACAACTTGGGCAAAGTTTTAGATATTTTGAGTGCACAGCCAAACTGTACCATCAATGGCTTTGAGGCAGGAACAGTTTCCACTGATAACAGGGGCCGACCCAAAATTAACATTACGCACACACAATTGGAATTTCTGTTGCAGTTCAATTTTACAATTCCACAAATGTCAAACATGTTGGGTGTAAGTTTAAAAACAGTCAGAAGACGAATGTCTGAATATGATTTATCCATCCATAGCACCTACAGTCAGATATCTCAAGATGATCTGCAAAAAATGATATCAGACTTCATAACTGAATTTCCAGAATCTGGATATAAAAAAGTGACTGGGTTTCTTCGCAGTGTGGGTGTGAGGTACGTTAAGGTGTTTGTGAGTCTAGACAGTAAAAAAATCTTACTATTGTATTTCAGCCTTTGATGGTGTTTGTAGGTGTTTTTTGTGGAATGGACAGATGTCCTTTTGAGTAGGAAAAGCCTGATCAAAAGTACATTTCCTATCTTAAAAATGCACTTCTGTGTTACTTTAATGAATCATTTTGTGAGTGCAGTTTTTGTTCTTAATTTACAAGAACCATTTTCTTTTATCTTCAGAGTGCAGCAAAAAAGAATTAGAGAGGCTTTGAGGCTTGTGGATCCCGTGGGAACCTTTCTGAGGGGTCTCACAATCAACACCATACAACGAAGGGGGTATAGTGTCCACTCCCCATTGTCACTATGGCATATAGATGGCAATCACAAGTTAATTCAGTAAGTATTGTCTATAAAGATTTAAATGCTGATTTTGTTATTACTACTATGGTAATCTTGTGGACACAACTTTACCAAAATAATGTCTTAATTTTGTACTGCATAGATGGAGAATAGTGGTTCACGGAGCAATTGACGGATACAGCAGAAAGATAATGTACCTAAAAGCCAGCTCCAACAACAAAGCTGCTACAGTGTTAAACTGCTTTATTGAAGCAGTGAATCAGTATGGTTTGCCATCTCGTGTTCGCAGCGACAAAGGACTTGAGAATATTGATGTTGCACGATTTATGCTTGAACATCCCCTACGTGGACCAGGTGGGATACTGTCCTGTTTTTGTTTTTTTTTAAACTGTAGTTTGCTCATCATTTGATGTACATATGTACCTGTACATATTACATCACCACTTTATCTCTTTACTGGATGAAAGTCCTCACCAAATGAGGAAACTGTGGTCTTTTGCTTGCTTTTTCATACACATGTATATTTCAAAAGATTAATGTAAATATATAAAAATATATTTAAAAGACATTTAAAATATATATTAATTTACTTTATACATACACACTGTATATGTGTGTGTATACTAAATAGTGGTTTGAAGAATGGTGACATTTGGAACTGACCACCTCTTCTTGCCTTATTAAACGATTTGACTCATTTTACTCTCGTGTAATTTCACAGATTTAGTTGTAAATGTGTGGCATATTGGAAAGGACCAAATATGGAGAATTATTGACAGACATTTATTATCCCTGTACTCTTTAAAATCTGTATTTGTTTGTAATTGCTCAATTCCTTTAA